TAGCTACTAATTTTGCTGCTAATCAAGCAACAGTGATCAGAGGCACTAATTGATTGATCTAAATATTTCCTTTTGCTGAATGTGTGTTGTAATTTCGCTACGACACTGGCTGAAGTTATTATACGAATAAGGAAGATGGTGCCTGGAAACAAGATTATTATAAAAGATTGCTAGTAATCGTCCCTTTATGGTTCGTTGCTTCAGAAGTTGATCTTGCGTCTGTGGGAGGTTTAGCGGTTTTACACATTGTGGGACTTAAGTGCTGGCCAACCTTGTAGTATGCACTCTGGACGGCACGTCTAGATTGTGGACAGCCACCTCTTGCTGAGCCCAGGGCCACACTGTTTCCCTTGGTCACATGTCTGAGCCAAGGAGACCAGATCCGATGTCACTTATTTTATAACTGCATTCTGAACATCAGAGTGAAGTTAAGGGTTTTTGTTGTTATTTTAGAGGTTTATTTGCCTTAGGATGTGTGCGCTGCCGGGGAGAGAGAGAAAGAGACAGTGAGAGGGAAAGCGAGAATCACCCCGCCCTCAGGGGGTGATTACCATCCCGCAATTTTTATTCCTCCCTTCTCCTCTTGGGATCTTTGATACCGGGTCCAGGACTCAAACCGAGATCATCCATGTGGACGCCCAGAGAGGTATCTCCTACTCCATCAGCTGGTTCCCGGAGTGAGCCGTTTAAAGACATGCTTGGGGGGACCAGCAGGTGGCATGGTGGTTAAGGCACTGGGTTCCCACATGACTAAGGGCAGTTTGAGTCCAGGACCAGCAGCTTGAAAATCACACCAGAATGTGGCCATCTTTCCTGGGGGAGTGATTTCTCCCTTTCCTTCTGTTTTTTTCTGGCAAGCCCACGTGCCCTATGGCAAATAATAATAAATAACCCCCACAAAAAACAAAAAACAAAAAGAAGTTCACAGGAAGGGGGAATTAAAATACAAGTTTATTGGGACTCACAAGTGGCTTGATGGTTAGGGCTGTGGACTCCCACATGGCCATGGCCAATCACAGATCAAATCCCAGATCTGGCAGTTTGCTTTCTCTCTCTGTCTCTCTCCCTCCCTCTCCTCAGTGAGCACGCATGCATGCCTTATAGCAAATGTAAAATAATAATAAATAAAATTAAATAATTCTTTTAAAAAATAAGTAAAGACTGAATGGTGGCACAGCGGTAACCCAATGTGTGATGCTGGACCCACATGGGATGGTCTTGGGTCCTGTACCTGCTGGAGACAAATATGTGCCCATGATATGGGCCGGCTGGGATGAGGGGTGGACAGAGAGAAAATGCTACTGGGGTTGCCCGTCTCTCAATTTTTAGCATTGGGGTCCCATTACAACCTTAAAAATTGAGGCCTCTAAAGATCTTTTGTTTATATGGGTTCTTATCCATACTTACCTTACTAGAAATTAAAACAAATGAGGGGCCAGCAGGTGGCTTGGTGGTTAAGGGTACTGGACTCCCACATGGTCAACTGCATTTCAAGTCCCAGACCTGGTGGCTTGCTTTCTCTCTTTCTCTCTCTCTCTCCCCCCCACACCCCCCATCCCTCTCTGGTCAAATTAAAATAAATAAATAAGTAAAGTTAAATAAAATAATTCTTAAAAAAAAAAAGAAATCCCATAAATGCATTTAAAAAAAAAAGTGAAAGGGTAACATTAGGGCCAAATGGTGTGGAAGATTAGGCAGCTGAATCCACATGACCAACTGCACAATTCAATGCTGGGCATGTGAGTGTGTGTGCCCGAAGTCTCTAGAGGAGAATAGAAGAGAAGGGATTGTGGCGTGGTCATCCCCCTGGGGAGGGGGGTGCTTTTTCTCTCTCTCTCTGGTGAGCTCATGTGCCCTATAACAAAAACAAAAAAGAAGAAAAAAAACTATTTTCTTCTTTTGTGTTCCCCATTTCAGAAGATGATATCCCTCTTCTCAGTTGTCCAAGCTAGACATTGTAGTTCTAGACACCCCTCTTTCCTCACCTACGTGCATTCGGTTGTCAAGTTCTTTGCAGTTTATTATCCCTTCTCTCTTCTGTCCCCAACCTCTCAAATTTTCTTCTCTTCTCTCTTCCTGGTATTACTGCCTTTATAGATTTATTTCAGATCTAGACTTAGCCTCTTAACTGGTTTGTTATCTCATCCCCTTTGACCTCCAGTTCATTTTCCTGATACCACAGAAAAATGATGCTTCCATGTAAATCCTAGTAATCCCCTGGACAAAGTTTTGGCTCAGAGGCTCCCTGGCGCCTGTAAGGCACAGTTTAAATTGTTTAGCATGACATTCAAAGCCTCTACCTTTCCCCGGCTTCAGCTGTTGCCCAATTTACTTTGAATTTTAAGTGTGTTGAACCACTGGTAATTTTCATATCTTATTTCTGCATAAGCCGGACCAAGTACTGCTCACCTGTGCGTGCGAGCACACACACACACACACACACACACACACACACAACTTCCTTCACCAAGTCTTCTCTGATAACCTCAGGGAAAGTTGGTTGGCCCTTCTTTGTGCTGCTTCATTATCCTGTGAAGAACTTTGTCATAACTCCAATGGAACCTTCTGACTGGAGAAGAAACAGCTCTTCAGTCATCTTTATATTCCTAGCACCTAGCAGGAAATGTTTGATGTGTATATGATTAGTTCAGCTCAGCAATTAAAAAAGATTTTTTTTTTTACCTCTATAAGAGAGAAAAAGAGAGAAAGACAAATACAATTTTGTGTTTCCTTCATGCTTTCTCACTTTCCCTTTCTCTCCCTCTCTGCTTCTCTTTAGTCAAATTAAAAAAATAACAGTAATAAATAAAATAAATTATTTTTAAAAATAGGCAGAGAGAGAGGTATCCCTGCCTGACAGGATTCACCATGCTGTGATCACTAACCCCAGCCAGCCAGGATCAGGGGTGTGCCCGGTGTGTTCAGGCTGACCTGGAATCGAAACCCTTTGCCTCCCAGATGGCTCCAGCATTGCTCAGCAGTATCCCCCTGGGGGATGATTCCTCACTTTCCCTCTCACTGTCTCTGGCTCTTTCTCTCCAGCAAGTGCACACACCGTAAGGCAAAAACCTCTAAAACTGATTAATTAATTAAAAAAGAAAGAAACCAGACAGACACAAAGGCCACATTATTGTCTTATTTCATCTATATGAAATAGCAAGAATGGGCAGATCCAGGGCTGGCAAGTGGCATGGTGGTCAAGGGCACTGAACTTCTACATGACCGACCGCAGTTTGAGTCCTGGACCTGGCAGCTTGCTTTCTCACTTTCTCTCTCTCTCTCTCTCTGTCCTTCACTGGTCAAATTAAGATAAATGCTGATAAATACAATAATTCTTTAAGAAAAATAAAAAAGAATGAGCAGATCCATACAGACAGAAAGTAGACCAGGGGCTAGGGGAACAGGAGAACAGAGAGGATACTAAGGAGTACATGATTTCTTTCTGAGGTGAGGAAAGAATTATGAGGGTGCTGAGCTTGATAGCCTGTGACTATACTAAAAGTCACTGAACCACACTTCACTAATACAAGGGTGAATTTTATGTTTTTTATATCCCAATAAAAAGAATTATGGAGCCAACAGATGGCATAATGGTTACATTGCTGGACTTCCATAGTTGACCACAGTTTGAGTCCCGGACCTGGTGGCGTCAAAATCATACAGGATGTGTGTGCACGAGTGCCAAAAATCCCAAGAGGAGAATGGAGGAGAAGGAATTGTGGTGTGGCCATCCCCCCTAGGGAGTGATTTTTCACTTTTTCTCTCTTTGTCTCTGTCTCTCTCCTGCGGAGCTCACACATCCTATAGCAAAAACCTAAACAAATGAACAATCAAAATGACTATGGCACTATTCTGTTCTATATAATAGATGATTAAAAACAAACAAACAAACAAACAAAGGGGACCAGCAGAATGGCATAATGGTTACATTGCTGGACTTCTACATGGCTGACTGCAGTTCAAATCCCAGACCTGGTGACTTGGAACACAAGCCAGGTGTGTGTGTGCATGCATGATTTTTTGCTTTTTGTCTCTCTGGCGAGTGCATGCCCCCTATAACAAAAATCTCTCTCAGAAAAAAAGAAAAGAAAAGAAAAGAAAAGGAAAAAGGAATTCTTATTAAAACCAGGCCCGTGAGTTTATTAATATAATGTTAATATTTATTTATAAAATAACTTATCTAATTGAGAAGAAATGTGTCACGGACATTCCCTGTAGTATGAATACACCCAGTGGGACCGAACAGTAATTCCCCGCCGTTACCACCAAAGAAATACCTGTCAATATTTTAGAACTGACAGCCAGAGTCCTAAGAATTATTTGCAAAGCAACTTTCTGTCCTTGACAAGCATATCCAGTCACCAGACACTTTCCTAAAACTCTAACCAACCCCTTATGTTCACAGCAACCCGTGGTGGAAATCTCCCCCTTGGGGTTTCCTTTTTTGAGCATGGCATTGGCAGAGTTTATGCTGTTGAGGAGGTGGTAGCTTCCTAAGGAAGCCCTAGTTCTGAGAGAGGACACCAGGACTTATGGCTAAAGGTAGGAAGGAACTGGGCTGGCCGTTAGGCACAAACTCTAGCCAAACTTCAGGCATTTGGTGCGTTCAGGGAAAGAACAAAGGCTGTCCCCCACTCCCCCCACCCCCGCACATAAAGCGAGTGGGTAGAGGTGTTGAGTGGGGCTACAGGTTTCTAGCAGAGAAACACTTTCTCACGGGGAGCGGTGAGCTGGAGACTGGGACATCTGGGGCTTGGGCAGTGAGCCAGCCTAGCACCCAGGGTGGGTAAACAATCTCGGGGCTGTCCTTGAAAAGAGTCGGCAGGAGCCAGGATCTTAGCTCTTCTTGATCAATCCTGAAGAAAAGCCCAGGATTCTTATACCTCTCTCCATCATCCTCCCACTCTTCCTAGAATGATGGCCAACAGATAGCCGGAAATGAGATCCACACATCACCGAGTCAGGAGGCGGATCCCAGCCACACACACCCACACATGCTAGCTGGAGTCACGTTCTTTTATTGAGCCATTTGGACAGGGGTCAGTGACAAGGGCGTTCCCCCATCCCACCGCAGTGCCCCTGCCAGGGAGGAGGCTGGGGTTCTGCAGTCACTGGGGTAGGAGTCCCAGTGAAAACCAATGGCATCAATGACAGAGCCAGCTCTGCCACTGATGAATCGGAGCACGGAGTTGGGGTACAGAGGGGCCGCGTTGAAACTCTTGCCTGTGTCTTTCCCAAAAGACAGGTAGCGGCCCTTGTCCGTCACAAAGACCAGCTTCCTCAGGTAGTTCTTGTACTTGCCAGACACCTGGATCACTGATTCCCCAGGGTGCAGGAAGACCTCCTCCAGGTCCCCCCGACTGCCACCCACATAGTCGCTCCACGTGGTGCCATAGCGTACCTGGAGGCTGGAGGCAGAGAGGAGGAGGGAAGAAAGGAGACGCTTACGGAACTGAGGACTCCTTGGCCTGCATGCGGAGACCTTCACACTGGTGATGGATGACCAGTTCGCCAGACCCACAGAATGCAGGCTGGCTGAGCCCTGGAAGCTCACACGGGGAAGTGTGGCTCAGTGTGTGGACGGACAGGTGCCTTGTCCAGGATCGTCCAGACAGCGAGTATCAGAGCTCCCGAAGTGTTCCCAGCCCCACTTGAAAAGAGCAAAGGGATTTTTAAATATCTGACAGCCTCCCATCTGAGAGGGGAAAGAGACCTGTCCACGTTGTCCCAGGATGCAGATCCCGGATCAGATAGAGACACATTTTGGCTCTGCAACTCTATGTACAGAATGGGGACACCTCAGGAGAGGCATCAGCAAAGATGGAGGGTGCCCTACAGTGATATTCCAGGGGAGGCTTAAATCTCAGATGCAGGGGCCAGCAGATGGCGTAGCAATTACATTGCTGGACTCCCACATGGCCGACCGTGGTTCCAGTCCTGGACCCGGTGACTTGAAACTCATGCCAGGTGCATGTGAATGCGTGCCCAAGATCTCAGGAGAGTGGAAAAGAAGGGATTGTGACGTGGCCATCCCCCTCCCAGGGTGTGATTTTCACTCTCTCTCTCACTAGCTCGCTCGCTCTCTCTTTCGCCCCGTGTGCACACATGCCCTAAAGCAAAAACCTCTAAAAAGTAACAACAATTTAAAAAATATATAATTTAAAATCTCGGATGGGGATGGTACTAGAAAAATTCCAAGCCTCTGAGTTTGTACTTATATGATTTGCTAAGATCATACATGATATAGGAGTTGTAACAGCCCAGATCGATCTAGAACCCAAGTTCTTTTTAAAAATTGTTTATTTAATTTTATTTACTTATTTATTTACTTTTAAATTATTTTACTTAACCTTATATATTTGTTTATTTATTTTAATTTGACCAGAGAGGGACAGAACAAGAGAGAGAGAGGGAAAGTGAGAAAGCAAGTCACCAGGTCCAGGACTCGAACTGTTGTCAGCCATGTGGGAGTCCGGCGCCCTTAACCACCACGCCACCTGCCGGCCCCTGCTTATTTATATTTAATTTGACTAGAGAGAGAGAGGGAAAGTGAGAAAGCAAGCCACTGGGCCCAGGACCCAAACTAAGGTAGGCTGTATAGGAAGACCAGTGCCTTAACCACACGCCACCTGCTGGCCCAAACCCAAGTTTTTTAATATCTTTTTACCATATCATGTTACACCTGTGACTTGCTGATTCAAATAGATGTGACCCAAAGTGAATGAAAACTTCACAATCCAGTCAGAGCCTAAAGAGTTCCCCCAAGCACAGAAACTCAAAGACCCTTACCCTACGATGTAGTATGAGTTGACTCGGATACGGATGGCAGTGATGGGGCCGTCCAGCTGGTTGCCAGAATGAGAGAATCGCTCTCCTCCACCACCTCCATACTCTCCATTATAGGAGGAAGACCTAGTCTGAACTGGAGAGGAGAGTAGGAGTTGGAGGGGGAAATCCCCTGAGAGCTCAGCTTCTCCCCACAACCCCTGTTCCTCCCACGAGCCAGCCTCCGAAAGCCTTGGCCACCAGCAGTCAGGGAGCTGTCTTCCCATCACCCCGTTACCAGGCCCTTGGCATCTCACGTACTGGCATTGGCAGAGACTGAGGCACAAAGAACGGCGAGAAGAGCAATGGCCAACATTCTGGAGCTGCAATGGGAAGAAAGAAGTGAAGTTTTACTCTGTGACCTCGGGACTGTATTGACCCAGGTATCCTTGACCTTCGACTCAGACCTAGCAGACCCAGTTTCAAGCATAGACCTGCTCTCCGTGGGCTGGCCATAGCCAGTCCTTACTCTTCCCTCCCAAGCCAGAAGATCAATCCTAACCCTCTCTGTGGATTAAGCTGTGCAAAGCCCCATTCTGTCCTGGCACAAAGCAGGAAGGGAGTTTCTGAAGGGAAAAGGGAGAACATCTACAGAGCACGAGAACAATTATGTTTACTGAGCCAGAATCTCAGGAACACCAAACTGAAGCCCCCTGTGGCAGATTGGCCTGCTTTGTGGGGCATCTGATTTAAATCCCTACTTTCAGCCTGATCTCTAATCAGGAAAGGAACATTTCAGACGTAGAACCTCCTGAGGAGTGTAGGAGGTGATGAACTAGATAGTGCCAACACCAGTGTCCATGAAGGTCTGGTAGAACTGGGATAGACTGGGAAGGTACAGAGGGAGGATGGACCATCTCCAGATCCCAGGTACCTGGTCTATTTCTCCAGTGATACACACCTAGCCATTTCCATCCCTCAAGCATCCCAGATGTCCTCAGCCTTTCAGCTGAGAGTCAGATATTTTTCCACCTAAGGCTAGTTCAGACTCAGTGCCCCACTGGACTGGCTCCCATGGATCCCCTTGACACTTGATCTAAGCATCCTCTTTTCCAGATCGGATTTTAATTCCACCCAACTCAGATCCCCGCATCCCTATCACCCCTCACCTGGCAGTTTCAGGTGCCAATCAACCCTCCAGAAGCCTCCAAGTCTTTAATACCAGGTCCAAGCCCTCCCCCTGTCCTTATCGTGTGAACCTCACCTCCTGAGCAAACATAATCAATTTCTTAGGATCAGGTGTCAGGCAAGGTCTGGAACATTTCATCCTTCCTGTCCTTCCTGCCCCCACCATGGGTTACAGGTGGCAGGGTGGAGCCTGCACTGGGCCAGGTGCCAGATCTAAGGAGGGACAGAATAAACTTGAGATAAGGTCACCAACAGGAGGCCTTCAACTCTGGGTGGGCAAAATAGCTAATCCTTTCTGGGGCATCATCTAAGGGTTTTTATTTGTGTGTGTGTGTGTGTTTTAATTTGTAAAGTTTGTTTTTTTGCCATGGGGGCATGCACTCGCTGGGTAGAAACGGGGGTGGGGGAGAAAGAGAGAGAGAGAGATCATCCTTCAAGGGGAATGGTCATGCTGCAATCCCTTCTCCTCCATTCTTCTCTTAGGATTTTGGGCATGCATGCACACGTGCCTGGCATGACTTTCAAGCCACCAGGTCTGGGACTCAAATCTCAGTTGGCCATGTGGGATCCAAAACCTTAACCACCATGCCACCTCCTGGCCCCAATCTAAGGGACTCTTTAAAGGCTTGCCCTCCCCTGGACGGTCTGCAGGTGCTCGCACCTGAAATCTGCCATCTGTCGGGATAAATATCACCCTTTCAGACATTTGAAATGTAGATTCTCCCAAAGAAGGTGTATAATCCCAACACCCTATAAATAGGAGTGCCTACAATTTTTCAGTTTTTTCCTCTCCCTTCCCCGATACCTTATTATGAAAAATATACAGATGTATAGAAAAGTAAAGAATTATAGTAGTGGGGCCAGGCAGTGGTGCAACAGTAATGCAACTGGATCTACATGTGAAGGTCCTGGGTTCACAACCTGGGATCTCCCTGTATACATGGAGTGTGCATGTATGTCCATGATCCAGGCTGGCTGCACTGGCATGGATTATGACATGGGGATCCTGTTGGGGTACCTCCCTTCCCAGCCCCTCAAGAAATAAACAAACCAAAAAGATTCATAATTATGAATACCCATATAATCACCATACAGATTCTACCATGATTAATATTTTGCTATGCTTGGGGCTGGCAGGTGGCATGGTGGTTAAGGGAGCTGGACTCCCACATGGCTGACTGACCTGGTGGCTTGCTTTCTCACTTCCTCTCTCTCTCTGTCCCTCTCTGGTCAAATTAAAATAAATAAATAAAGTTTTTTTAAAAAAATTTGCTATGCTTTATTTATTTTTTTCTTTTTATTTATTTATTTATTTATTTTGGAGAGTTTTTTTGCTATAAGGCGCGTGCGCTCGCCAGACAGAGAGAGACAGAGAGGCAGAAAGTGAGAAATCACCCCCCAGGGGGGATGGCCACCCCGCAACCCCTTCTCCTCCATTCTCCATTCGGGATCTTGAGCATGCACACACACACGCCCAGCGTGAGTTTAAGCCACCAGTCCAGGACTCGGACCGTGGTCAACTACATGGGAGTTCAGTGACATAGCCATTATGCTAATTGCTGGTTGCTTTATTTATTTTTGTAATTTGCCGGAGGGTGCACATGCTCACCAGAGAGAGAGAAACAGAGGGAAGGGTGTGGAAGGCTGCATATTAGATCTTGCACATGAACAACTGTTTGTCCATTTTGTTCCCTTACCCTGACATGGCTGGCTGCTTCTGTAAAACTGCATGCTTCCCATGAGAAAATAGCTTGTGCTAGCCATACAGAAAACTGCATCTGGGGGACCAGCAGTTGGCGTAATGGTTATGTCACTGGACTCCCACGTAGCCAACTGCGGTTTGAGTCCTGGACCC